AAAAAAAAAAAAAAAAAAAAAAAAAAAAAAAAAAAAAAAAAACAAATCCCTATCTGCATCCTCCCCTTCAGTCCCCATCAGCACCCAGGCAGAGGAGAAAACATGGCAAAACCTTCCACAAATACATGACTCCATTGCCACCTCCCCATTTTAGGTAACAATAGCCAACACATGGTTTACCATGTGCCAGGCACTACTCTAAGCACTTCACCTACATTGATACATTTAATCATCACACAAACCTGACAAGCAGATTCAGTGGTATTATTACGCCCATATTACAGAAGAAAACAGAAGTTAGTACAGTAACTCGCTAACACCACTCGACTAGAAGATGGTAAATTCAAATACAAGCAATCTATAACTCACGACTATCCAGTAGAATGGTTTCTGTCATCATTCCTGACTGACAGGTCAGAAAACTGATCCTTGAGACACGGTGTTAGTGTGGGTGCTGGAGAAGGTATGGGAGGAGGAAGGAAAAACAAATTGAAGGCAGGCAGCATGAATGCCATCTCTGGTCAGAGGTCAGAGTCCTCTTGCTTTATGGATGGCAAAAGTGACGTCTTCACCCACCTCCCTGACTGAGGCAAGCTGCTGATGCACTCTTTTGGGGGAAGCACTGTCCTCAGTGTCCCTTCAAGGCTCCAGATGGCCAAAGATGAGGTGGGACTGAAACAGGGAAAAGGCATAGACGATACATTTCACAACCCCATGCTCCTGGTGCTTGGCTATTCTATGAGCTCAGAGGCATCTTGATGACTAAGGTTAAAATGAGAAAAATGCTAACAGCCTCACAATCCAATACTCAGACCCCTACAATGAGATGATGACCCAGAGAGAGGACAGGTCACCTAACCTTCTGGTTCCTCCTTCACAAGATACTCAACTGATGTGAGTTAAAGGCTTTCTACTCCCAGGGGCCAAGCTCACTCAGAGACATTATTGCATAGTGGTGGAAGACATGGGTACCAGAGCCAGGCAGGCAGGAGTGTAGGGACCAGATGGCTCAGCAACCAGCCACTGATCTAGGAGAAGCCACCTAATTTCTCCAGAGCTTTATTTTCCTCCTTAGTGATCACTTGGTTGAAAACCAAGGTTGTTGTGAGGGTTCAATAATACCAAAAAAAATAAAATAAAATATTTTTAAAAAGCAGTACACTGAGCTACTGCTGGGCTGAATTTACCTGCACATTCTCTTCAGTCACCTCAATTTCAGCAGTGTAGATGTAGTCGATCAGCTTACTGAGTGTCTGTCCATCCACATCTTTGATTTCAATCTTCTTGGCTTTACTCTCAGACATGTCACCTAGAGTTCACAACAAAAACAAAACATGAATTTGGTGCCTAGGGTATAGTTAATTTCTGCATGACCTTCTGCGTTGTCTTAGAAACAAAAACATACTGCCTGTGCTCTGGGAAGCAGTAGAAGGGACTCAGGCACAGAAGAGGGTTAGCCAGCTAACATCTGTGTCACACCAACCATGAATCTCTGATCATCTGCAAACCCAGTCTTATGCATTCCCTACCCTATCTATTGCCTGTTTTCATGCTGAAGGCAAATCAAAGTGCAATAGTCCATTCAACTGACATTCTCTGTAAACTTCTTTACACCAGGAATAGTGAACATCTGCAAATGTCCTCAAGGAACACAGGTCTAGCAAGACAGATACATAAAAAGATAAATGAAGTAACAAGAACTTGGTAAAAGTAGGCACAAAGCACCACAAAAATCAGGAAAAAAACATAACATTTTTGAGTGCAAACTAAGGCCAAATATTGCCCCTTTCAATCCTCACAACAACCAGAGAGTTTATTAACATTAGCCCCAAGAATTAGCCATGTAGAGCTTGGCTAGCATGAGCAAGGTGTTGGTTCAATCCCCAACACAGGTAAAACTTATGTGTCTATGGCAGCAGGCAGAGGACAGCAAGTGACCTTGTCCTTATTATGCATCCAGGAAGGAGCCAGGTTGGTTGAAAACCAAGGAGTGCATACCCATAACCACTGTGCTACCCTAAATCCCCAAAACACAGAGAAAGGGCAAAGAAACTCAACCTAGGAACTCCAGTGAGGTGTCCTACCTGAAGGTCACTTTTGAGCTGAATACTAGAGGAGGAAAAGGAGTTCCACAGGCAGCACAGGTGAGGAAGAATTGGCAGGATGTGGATACCATAATAAAGGAAGGAAAGTGCATAGAAGATACATTTAGAGACTAGCAGGAGACTGGCTGTCTACACAGGGTGGTGCAAGGAACCAGAAGATGAAGAGGTGGATAGGGCCAGGACTTGCAGATCTACACAAGCTGTAAAAGCTTGGATTTTATCCAGAGGATGACACCACCAAGAGCTTTTAAACAGGGAAATCACATCAACAAATGGGTATTTTTGAATGAAATTTTGAGTGTAGGTTGGAAGTTGGATCAGAGGCAGGGAAAGAAGTTGGAAGGCCCTGATAATAATCCAGGAAAAAGAGGATGAAGGGCTATGAATGAAGGCAGCAGCAGCACCCCATTTCCAGTCTTCAGTCCTCTCTGACTTCTGCCTCTACTCTATAGGCAATCAATCCATGATTTTACCTAGAGTCACGGTCCTTCAGCAAGAGCAGCTGCTTCCAGAAAGGAAAGACAGTCAACACATGGTCTTTGTGGACTGAAATAAAGGGCAACTAGTCTACAAGAAACAAAGCATTCAGAAGCCCTAATGCGAGTGTGAGAACAGAGCCTGGGTGGTTGTTTTCTTTCTCTGGAATTCATGCAGGAGAGCCAAGAAAATAAAGTACAGTACAATGTGTAGGCTGCAGACGCCCACCTTCAAGCTGCACGGACTGCACATAATTCTTCCACAAATCCTGTTCCCCTCCTGACAGTCCTAGATTTGAATGACTCTGGAAATTTTTTCAAACCTTGACTGTTTTCTTCATTGTCAGACCAGGTAGACCAGAGCCTTCTACTCTGTTCTGTTACCTCAGACTACTATGGAGACCAGTGAAAAGGCCCGAGCTCAGTGAGCCCTAAGGAAGGTAAAAGAGGCAGAAAGGAAACAATAAAAGATGGTAGATTCCTCCCCCACCCATAAAACAGGCTCTTACAGTCTCTTTCAAATTCATGTTGAGATACACAAAAACAATATAGACAAGAAAATCAGAGTTAAATTTCTCTTTCCAAACAGCTATTAAGAAGTTCATTAATAAGTGTCCACATGATAATTATACTGCAAAATATAATCAAAGACAGTCAATTCTTAGTTTAAGAATGTAGGCCTTCAAAAATAAGACTGAAAAAAAGCATCCTGACTACAAGAACGAAAAGGTTCATTCAGCAGCTCTCTCATGAGAGGGCAGAGCCCGAGCTGATGGTCTGTCTGTAGAATTTGCACTTCAGAGTCAGGCTATGCTCTTATAACTTTGGGTAAAATTAATGGAAACTCCTGAAGACTAGGTAGATGGGTAGATGGATAGATAGGTGGATAGGTGATAGATAGATAGATAGATAGGTGGATAGATAGATAGTGTAATAGATCATCTCAGTTCATAAACTTGACTCTTTCCACAATTGAGTCAAATCAAATTCAATGGTTAGGATCAATGTTGAGCTTATGGGGAAAATCTGATTTGGTTCTTCCCCAGTTCAGTTTGTGACCAGGATAATGGAGCAAAATGAGTTCATGAACTGAAATAGATACATAGATAGATACATAGATAGACAGATAGAGATATAGATATGATCTATGATCCACAAAAGGTTAATACACAGTTTTACAGACAGAATTCTGAGGGATTTTTTTTTTGCTCTATTACAAAGCTGAAATTTCTAATTTTCAACATTAATACTTAAAATTTCACTTAGAAAGAAAATAAATGTGAAAGAAAAACTAGGGAATTGAAGACAGTGATTTTCTAAGAATGCTCCCATGTAGTATATTAGAGATCTGTATAAAGGGAGGGGGGAAGGAAAGGAAGGGAAAAGGAAGGAAAAAAAGTGGAAACAAAGCTTTTCTAAATGGGAAGGAGGGCTTGAAGGGTAGGGAGGGGTACAGGGAAAACAGAATTAAGACGTATCATGCACAACTACAAACTCCCCATGATGAATATGATCAATATGTATGACAAATATGTACTAATAAAAAAGTTTTAAAAAGGGACAGGGCTAAGATTTGAAACTTAGCAGGGAAACAAGTTGGAAGACAGATACACCTTAGAGGTGACAGATCTGAAATTAGTCCTTGAGGCATATTTCATAAAGCCTTCTATACCTTAAAGCTGACCCTGACCAAAGACCTTGATCAAAATATTCCAAAATTCAAAGCAAATTCTTTATACCCAGCAACTAAGAAACAAGGGGCTGGGACCTTGTCAAACTTATTGTCAAGATATCCTCAACACATACCAAAGTGCTTGGCATAGGGGCTGGGGATTTAGCTCAGCGGCAAAAAGCGCCTGCCTGAGAAGCGCAAGGCCGTGAGTTCGGTTCCCGGTACCGGAGAAAAACCAAAAACCAAAAAAAATAAAAATAAAAATAAATAAATAAAACAAAGTGCTTGGCATAAAACAACCACTAAAAACTGTCTCGGAGTGAAGAAAAAGAGAAAGGGAGGTTCTCTCTTGACACCTCATAATGCCATGGGCTTCTAATAATTCCTGAGGGGCAGGAACCATCCAGGGCTTAGAGTTTAGTCATTTTTGCTCCTTTACTCACCTCTAGTAATTTGACAAAATATTTCTAGAAACAGAAAGTGAGTATACTAAGATTTTCCAGCTCAAGGTCAACCCAAGGGCCCTCCTAAGCTAACTTTTTCCTAAGAGGCCCAGCCAGCCACCTCGGGATCTGAGTTCTCAGACAACGTCCACTGGCTGCATATCTCTTTGGCCTTTCCACCTTCTGCTTATCATTCTAACATGCATATCTTGTTTCTCCAAAGAACACTGTCCACTCATAGCAGACAGCTGTACATTCATTCAGGAAGTATGTATCAATGTGTCCTAGGTGCTAAGCCCTATGCTAAACCCAAAGGGTATATAACAGTGAACAAGTGATCTCCCTGTCTTCATCCAGCTCAGCCTAGTGGACATAGAGAAATAAACCAACAATTGCAAAGGGTGATAAATGCCACAAAAGTGGACCCTATTTGAAAAATTCTTAAGCCAGGGATTCCTATGACCTAAATATGTTTTCAAAATTATGAGTACACAAGAGAACATATTTGCTTTTCTTGGAATATGGTAAGTCCCCAATTTACGAATATTTGCATTGTGAACTTTCACAGGTGTACTTTATAAGATTCACTGATGTGCTGTATAAGACTCACTTTGTCAGATTATGAAGGAATCTGACTTATGAATGTTCTCCCAGGATGGAATTTATTTGTAGGTCAGGGACTTACTGTATAGTCCATTATTCTTATAAGACAGATTCATAATGATAAAGAGGGCTGGGGATATAGTTCAGTGGCACAAGTGCCTGCTTGGCAAGCGCAAGGTCCTGCGTTCGATTCCCAGTATCAAAAATAAAATAAAATAAAATAGAATCATTGTTTCATAACAATAAAGAACCACTGATACTCAGAAGAAATGTGAGAATGAGAAAAGAATAATCTGGAAAGAGAATAGAATATAAAAAGGTCTAATGGTAAGAAAGAACATAGCCTAGACGGGAAGCATAAGTTCAATCTGGCTAGACCATAGCATTCAAAGGGAGGAGCACTGAGACAAGGCTGGATATACAGGCAGAGACTGGACACACAAGGGCCTTGTGGGCCATTCAGAAGACTTCAGACTTTACCCTGATGACAATGGGAAGTGCCTGACTGGTTTTAGGCTGGTAAACATGGAATTTTTATTTGTGGAAGAACACCACAGCTATCATGTAGATGATGGTGGAGGGGTGGGTGTGGACAAAACAAGAAGCAGGTTGACCAATTAGGAAGTCACTGCAGAATATCAGGGGAAAGATGTTGATGGCCTGGACTAAGGGGCTATGTCTTGATGATCTTCTTCTAATCCTCAGGCTCCACTTTAGGGCCTTGTATTGGCAGTCTTGGAGAAACACAGAGGCCCAGGAGCACAGGCAAGTCCACATCCCTATTAGGTACAAGCGTTCCACTAGCCCCTGGCAAGTTCACATGTATATAATTGAGATATTTTTAGGTAAAAAACTGCCAACGATGATCAGGAAGACGGAGACCTGACTTGAGGAGTGTAATCAAAAAATCTTTTATATCACAGAAGATTCAAGAAGTCTAGAAAAATAATTGACTCATCTTCCAGGTCACTGGTATATACTCAATCCTATTATTAAGTAAATAAGCCTTG